TCGGACTTTAATTCGGCATATGACAACAGGAACCTTGATTAGATGAGCATCCCCAGTTAGAATAAAATGATGTGTTGTAGTCTTAACCCCCAGACAACAAGTTAAATTCAAAAAGATTGGCATATTCTTTCATGATTTGGTCAACCATTGCAATATAAAGATTATCAGAGGGATATAAAGAGAGAATAGAGGAACAAAATAGAAATATAAGAGGACGTAATGAAGAGATTAAAGTGATGGAAGTAAAAGTAGAAGAATAAAGAGGAATAGAAGTGAGAAGAATGAAAGAAATATTAGGAAGTATAAATCAAGGGGGAAAGGCCTCAAAGTCACATTTGGTATGATTATGTTACAATTAATCTATACCAAGGATAAGGTCAAAAACATGATTTAGCAGTATCTATAACGACTAAAGTTTAAGCTCAAAATTGCCCATGCACACAACTAGGTTTGCCTCATCTCATACACATAGCCATTGCTATAAAGAATAAAATTTAGCTTTGCTACACAACATAAATATAGATGGCAATATGTGGCAATAGGCTGAATAATAAAAGATGAATTTGAGCTTGTATTAACTAACACAGAGAGCATAATAAAAAATCTTTTGTTATATAAGCGAATTTAGAAAGTAAACACTAGATGAACTAATGCTAATGGAACCCTTTAATGATACTCCCAAAAGAAAGATGAAAGGGTTACAGACTTATTCGCGCAAGGACCCTCCACTACTTGCATAACTCTTTATTTTCCAGAAGCATCTTAGTGTTTAAACCTTCCATTATAACAACATTAATAGAACATTGTTAAAGTCTCCACCCAAGAAATGAAGGACACCAATTTGGAAAATACTAACAATGTTGATAAGGGTGACCAATTTCATCCAACTATGGATATCATGGCTACAACCACATCCCTACCTTTGTCCTTGAATTAAGGAAACAACAACATCAACCTTCATTGGAACAGAACCATCACTTATAAGAAATGGAATTGAAGGATGTGTAGCAAGAAATTAAAAAAGTGATGTCTCAAAACATTGTGTTAAATGAAGATTATCCTCAAGAGTGGTTGGAGTAAGTGCATGCATAAATCTTACAAAATCTTAACAAAATATTAGCCACAATATGTCTAACTTGATTTGCTTCGATATATTTAGTTCCGCACGAGGCAAGAGGCTTTAGAAAAAAATGGCAAATTACATTACTTTCTTAAATGGCCATTAATGAAGACAATACAATTGTTAAAAAGCATTATCACAATTGTTAGCATGTTCAAATGCTCATTTGAACATGTCTAGGAGAATGCTCTAATCCACATGAATGGCTGTGTTTAAACCATTGTACCACTATGGATCAAATATAAAAATTATTTTTTCTTTTTTGAAAAATGATTTACAATAAGATGTGATTTCATTGCTTGTGATTACATCATGCAATCAAGAATCCTTACCTTGATGTATGTTGATTATAATAGTTTGCAAATGGTGAATTGTGAAATGAATAAACCAAGAATGGATTCAACTTCACCCTATTATCTTAGAATGTAAAAAATCAATCCTAGAAGATTGCCTAGTAAATGCTAATCATTGTGTTTAATATAGAGAGAGTCTTCATCTCAACAAAAACTAGCTCCTTAAATCAAAACTCATTTACTCTATTTAGGTACTTACATTCATTTACATAAAAAGAAATAGCAAATTAACGAAATCCAAGAAATGCAGCAAATAATTATAATTGATATTAATGTCTAAAAAAGTTGTTTTAAAAAAAATTGATCTCCCTTTCTTCCTTTTAGATGAAAAGATAACCATGTACATATAATAGCCATAAAATGGTTATCCAATTAGAGTATGACATGTGGACTATACACATGTGCAATTGCATGCACATGGCACCTGTTCATTTTTTAATCACTTCAGTAACAAAACTATATTACAAAAAAATTGGATTTCCATACACTATCCCAAGAGCATAAACAAGGTCAATGCTTGAATGCATAGCAGTGTGAGAGCAGCGGTTGTGGTCTTCTTTTTAGGGTAGGCAATTCTGAAATCTCAAGAGAGGAGATGGGTGCCATGGGTTAGAGGAGCCAGATCTTTCCTTTCTCGCACTAGAGAAATCCTGGATTTTGAAATATTAATTAAAAAATTTCATAAATGTTTCGGCTTATATTACCACATACATGCTCTTTAGGGATTTTGGCTAGGGTTTCTTGCCACACTCGAATTACGTGCTGGAAGCAAGGCATTAGGAGTGAGACAGCATCCAAGTATTGAAATCCAATAGCTTCCATCCAATCCAATCCTATGCCTAGCCATGGCACTGTTGCAACACAGATCCATTTGTATGGCCGATTCCAAGTCTTCAGCTACCGCTACCGCTAAAGACTTGGATGCTCTCTAGGTATTGGAGCCCCGATCAAAATGCCAGAGATCCACTGTCCTGGCTATGGCACTGTCCTGACCGTGTCCAAATATCTTGGTGTTGTCCCTGTTTTTTTATTGATTGCTACTATACTAGGAGAATCTAATGGATGCCAATGGCACTCACTTGTTCATGGATCATAGTAGTACAATGGAGGTATTCTAACATAGCTTTAAATATAGCATTCTTCATCCCCTTTTCCATGGAAATTTTGACACCATTGTGGATTTTCTTCTTTTCTAGAGCTTAGATGTTCCATTGGTCGGAAACAAGGGTCTGGATTTCGAGGCTGAGTCAGTCTTCAATCAGGAATTCATCAAGGTATTCATCAGGAAAATGAAAAGTTCCTCTTTGCTGTGTTCTTATTTCTCCTATGTCTTTGCAGGTGAAGCTTTCAGACTACTTCTATGTCATGTTGTTCTTCTATCCTTTGGACTTCATGATCATTTGCCCGATAGGTTGGTTGATGACAATTGCGTTGGTTTGAAGATTTCTTCAAACTTTTCTTTTCCTCCTACTAGAAATTGCCTCTTTCTGTGATCGTTACTCGGAATTTGAGAAGATCAACACGGAAGTGCTCAAAGTCTCTGTTGACAGTGTGGTACATGGGATATTTTTTTTTTGCTCTCTCACTAACAAAAGGATGTTTTTGCAGTTTTCCCATCTGTCTTGGGTTCAAACTGAGAGAAAGTTGGGTGGCCTAGGCAATTTGCACTATCCCCTTGTTTCAGACATCTCCAAGTCAATCTCCAAGGCTTACAACGTACACATCTCTAATCTGGTTTGTGAGAAACTCAGTGGATATTTTGTGCAGATGACATTCTTTGTATGTCTAGGGAATTGCCCTCTGAGGCCTCTTCATGCTAGCAGCAGGGAGTCAAAAACAGCAAGCCAGCAGCAGCAAGTGGCACAAGCGGCAAGCGAGTGATGATCCAGCTCCATCTCGCAATGCAGTGGTGCAGCTATGAGCATCCAACTCCAGCCGTAGCTATTGCCAATTTCATTTCTAGCTGCAAGCAGCATTGTAATTGAGCGGCGGTTTAGATATCAATTCAATTAATGATCCAGATTTTTGCTTATGTGACATCTAATGTGGCAATCTTGGTATCACGTGGAAATCACATTTGAAAATTTATACATTATGAAACCATTGTAGTTTTATGTTCGTGATTTACATGCTTATAAATCTAAAATGAATTATAATTGAATTTTTGAGAATTTATAAATGTTTCATTTGAATTTCATTTTGGTGCACCGGTGTTATTTGTGAAAAAGAAAGATGGATCTATGCGCATGTGCATAAACTACCGATTGCTCAACAAGTATACAAAGTAGAATAAATACCTTTTACCAAGGATTGAGAACCTGTTCAATAGGTTGGGAAAGGTATTGTGAAATTTAGTTTTTCACTAATGTTATTGCACTATGGAGCCATCACAAGCCTAAAATTCCAAGTTCTATTTCTGGGCAGCTTGAAACATTGTATGATCCAGACACACTGGAAGAATCCACTTGAAGACTTGGGTCCAAGAAACCAAGGATTCTCTTGGCAAATGCCACAAGCAAAACATTCCAAAGCTGTCCTTAATCCAATTAGCTCGATTTGGCAGCCAGGGTGCTCTTTCCCTGTGCTTCAGATTTGTTTAGGTTCACACAGATCAACACCCATTCTCGTGAACAATGGAGGTATGAAATCCATGTAAATGTAGACGAATATACTAGATAGAATATTCTTAGCCCATGCGAATCCTATGCGTATATACCTTCAGGACCAATGGCAAAGGAAAATTCACAGCTGACACTTTACTGATCACAATTCTAAATGCACGCACCAACCCCACACCAACTACGTATTTTTTTCAATATCACAGGCCACAACCTGCACTTGCTACTTTGTCATTTTAGAAAAAAATCTCCAAAGCTTCTCTGACCCCACCAGATCAACAGAGCAATATCTTGACACGCTCAGGACCATCGCAGGTATGGCGGAAGAGCGTCATCTTGGTGTGGCAATTGTGATCGGCGTGACCGGCATCAATGGAAACAGCATCTGCCGCAAGCTCCTGGAGCGATCCTGGCAAGTCTACGGCACGGGGCGCCGCGATCGCCCCGACTGGCTGCCCAGCAAGGTGAGCTACGTGCAGCTGGATCTGCTGGATCAGGTGGATGTGCAGACCAAGCTGTCACCGCTCAAGAACCGCATCACGACTCTCTTCTGGGCGGCCTGGATCCCCATGAAAACGGAGGAGGAGAACTGCGATGCGAATGGGACGATCTTCCGCAACACCCTCGACGCTCTGCTTCCAGGCGCGCTCCGCCATATCTGCCTGACCACGGGGGCGAAGCACTACCTGGGGCCATTCGATCGGTGGAGGGATGTGATGCCCGCGGAGGCTCCGTTCCGGGAAGACTATCCCAGGCTTCCGGTCCCCAACTTCTACTACGTCCAGGAGGATCTCCTGTTCGACAGGGTGAAGCAGCACCCGCATCTCACATATTCGATCCACCGGCCCAGCGCCATCTTCGGATTCGCGCCCAGGAACTATATGAATTGCATCCTGGCGCTGGTTGTTTACGCCGCGATCTGCAAGCGCGACAAGCTGCCATTCCGATTCTTCGGGAGCAGGGCAGCGTGGGAGGGCCTGACGGATGCATCCGATGCGGATCTGATTGCCGAGCAGGAGATCTGGGCTGCCACGCATCCGGCTGCCAAGAACCAGGCGTTCAATATCACCAACGGGGATGTGTTCAAATATAAGCAGCTTTGGGCTGTGATCGCGGACGAGATGGGGGTGGATCCTGCCCCGTTCGACGGCGAGAGCGTCAGCCTGGAGCATCTGATGAGGGGGAAGGAAGGGAGCTGGGATGCTCTTGTGCGCGAGCACAAGCTGCTGCCGACAAAGTTCCACGATGTTGGGCAGTTTTGGTTCCTGGATACAATGTTCGGGGCTCCAGTAGAGAACTTGAGCAACATGAACAAGAGCAAGGAGCTCGGGTTTCTGGGATTTCGGAACAGCGAGAAGTCTGTGCGGCACTGGATTCAGGTGCTCAAGGCGGAAAAGATCGTTCCCTAATTCTCTGGTTGCAGGAGGAGTACGGTCTGCTCTACATATAAGTGTAATGCTCTTCAAAATTAGAGAAATGCTCACAAAGGATTATCGCGTCGGATATTTGCTCTGAGCCCATTGCTTAACGCACACTAATGACGTGGTGTTCCGGGCTTACGGCGGCGGGCCGCCTCTCCCTTCGCGCTCTTTTCGAGATGGTGCTACGTCGGGCGGTGGATCTCCTCGAGCGATAGGTCGTCAAGTTTTTGGGCAATAAAGAAGGAAACAACGAAGTATTGAATCTTTCTTATTTCTTTGCAGGTGTTTATGCTTTCAGAAGGATCTCCGGGTGTCTTGGCAAACATGAAGCGTGAACATGAAGTTTGTGACAGACATGTTCTTTTCAGCCAGGTCTTGTTTGGCTTGGGAGACACTAATATAATATCCTTCTTAATATTATATCCTTCAGGAAAGATTCAGAAAGAAGGACCAGCAGATTAGTGAAAACTTTTTTGTGGCACGGTATTGTTTGCACGCATCTGACATGAGCTTTAGTGCACGTTTTATTTTCCAAAGGATCGGTTCTCAACCTTGGAAACGACGTTGAGCGCCTCCACTGCTTTCATAGGATGTCAAGGGCCTTGCCATGGACAGGTTTCACAGTGCTCCTATTGAGAATCGTGAATTAAATCTTTCTTTCAGGAAACGGATTCAAGGCGCCTTTGTTCTCAAAGAAGCACATGGTGCTCGCTAGATGGCCTGGGAGAGGAATTGTTCTCAAAAGCACTGGTTCGTTTGACACTCAAATGAAAACTGGTATGTTGAAGATTGCAAGTTTTATAGAGGTTTTTGTCTGTTAAGATACACTCACTATTAGTATTAGTAATAACTTGTCAGCAATTTTCAAAAACTTGTTAAGAATTTAGTTTGTATTATTTTTTCTGTAGAAATGATAATGATTTGCTATGTGTTGTATGTAACAATGCTTGGTTTGCTTAATAATAGTGTTATTCCTATTTATTTATCCAATTGATCAAATAAAGTTTATAATTATAAGCATGTTTGTAATTTATAAACACAAGATTAATCTTATTACCATTAGATGGTAGAAGGAAAAAAAATATACTAAAAAGGGTTTAAGAAAGTTTAGAATTTATAAACATGTTTATAAATTATAAATACAAGATTAATCTAAATGAGTAATATTTATTAGATGATAGAATATCCTAGAATATCCAAATATATTCTAAATATATATAAACTCATGAATTTGGACTTCCCAGGAGGTCACTTAACCCAAACTCAAGGATATATAACCCCAAAAACATTTAATCTTAAGTATCCCAAAACCATTAATCGAGTGAAAAAATATATAGATAGTTTTTTAAGTTGTTCTCTTTAGTTACTTATAGTATATTGTAAGTGATTAAATTTTTCATTTTAATTTAGTCATTTAACCACACTTCTAACCACTTAGAAGACTTTTACTCCCCACCTTTATAAATTTTATTTTAAACTTGGGGACTTGTTAGCCCCAAAAATGGCACCTATACTATTTAATCTTTGCCACTTGGTCCAAGTGCTCCACATGTTCAATCTTATAATCAACACCTAAAGGTATCACTAATCTATTAACTCGTTGCGTTAAGGCTGTGCTTATTCACCTTTTGTCACACTAGTGGTCTAACACCACCTACATCATAATCCCATCTCTCCAAAATCAGGCCATTTGTACTAAATCTCTTTCTATCCATGGCCATGTTTACCAACATTGCCATTGAGTCAAGGCTGTGAGACACAAAATCCCTAGGCCCCAAAGTGGAGCCGAAAGGGTGCCACGTGGTAGTGGCCGAAGCGAAAGCCAAACAAGTGTAACACGTTTGGACTAAAAGCTCCGACTTGAAAAGGTCGAGAGTGGGAGTGGAACTCTCAACGAAGTGCTCGAGGAATGAGCACGAAGCGAGCAATAAGCGAGGCTCCAAAAAGGGACCTAAAAGGACCAACTCATGACACATGGAAGTGTCCAAGATGGACCCAAGATGGACCCGAGTTGGAGTCCGAAGTGGAGTCTGAGAAGGACCCCGAGATGGAGTCCGAGGTGGACCCGAGATGGACCCAAGTTAGAGTCTGAAGTGGAGTCCGAGAAGGACCCCAAGTTGGAGTCCGAAGTGGAGTCCGAAAAGGACCCCGAGTTGGAGTCCGAAGTGGAGTCCGAAGTGGACCCTGAGATGGAGCCCGAGTTGGAGTCCGAGGTGGAGTCTGAGATGGACCCGAGTTGGAGTCCGAAGTGGAGTCTGAGAAGGACCCCGAGATGGAGTCCGAGGTGGAGTCCGAGGTGGACCCGAAATGGACCCGAGTTGGAGTCTGAAGTGGATTCCGAGAAGGCCCTTGAGATGGAGTCCGAGGTGGAGTCCGAGGTGGACCCGAGAGGGACCCGAGATGGATTCCGAGATGGACCCGAGATGGAGTCCGAGATGGAGTCCGAGATGGACCCGAGAAGGAGTCCGAGATGGAGTCCGAGATGGACCCGAGAAGGAGTCCGAGATGGACCCGAGATGGAGTCCGAGATGGACCCGAGATGGAGTCCGAGATGGAACCCGAGATGGAGTCCGAGATGGAACCGAGACCAAGACCGAGACCGAGACCGAGATCGAGTCCGAGTCCGAAACCAGGACCGAGATCGAGTCCGAGTCTGAGTTCGAGTTCGAATACTAATACAGGCAGCTGGGTGAAAGCCCAAAGAGATCATCCCCCAGGGGGGGGGGGGCTGCGGGGGGTTCCAAAAGTATAGTAGGGAGAGTGTGGGGGTTGGAGCCCAGTGGAGCCAGTTTGGCCATGAAAGGCTAGTTTGGCCCAGGAATGGCCAGTTTGGCCCAGGAAGGCCATACCCAGTGTTGGGTGATGAATTGACCACTGGGAAGTCCAAGACTAGAATGAATACGGACCGACAAGCAGGGTAGCTTGGTGAAGTGTTCAAGAGCCGGCTCTAGTTCCCCTGGGAGATCGACTGACCGATGCTCTCAGTCCAAGTG